AAACTTCCACACTGAAACAACCCTGCAGGAATTCCAGGGAGCTTTAATATCCCACCTGGGGCTGGGACAGCTGAGCTCCTCACTTGGGAATAACAAATTATCCCTAAAAAAAACAAAGGAGGGAGGGAACTAAACCTTGTTCCTGCTGCTCTTTCAGGGGTTTGCTCCATTTGGCACTGGAACAGAAAGGCCAACTGTCCCCAAGGGCTGGGGATGGAGACACAAGGAGGTGTCACCACTGGGAGATTCTTCAAAGTGAAAGTAGGGATAGATGGGATATTGGGAAAGAATTCCTGGCTGGGAAGGTGAGGAGGAACTGCAAAGGATTTCCCAGAGAAGCTGTGGCTGCTCCATCCCTGGAAGTGTCCAAGGCCAGCTTGGAGCAACCTGGGAGACTGGAAGGTGTCCCTGCCCATGGCAGGGGGTGGGATGAGATGATCCTTAAAGTCCCTTCCAACCCAAAATATTCTGGGATTTTATCTCCAAAGTTTTCCCTCCTGGACATCAGGAAGGAAACCATTGTCCCACAGGCACCTGGGAGCAGCAAGGCCAAGGACAGCAGGTTGGAATCCATGAGGACACAAAGCCTGGCAGATCCCAGAGCTCTGTGCCAGCTCCAAGTGCTGCCACAGCCCAGCTCTGGATACCATTCCTTTGCCCTGGAAAAACCAGAAGCACCAAACCCTAAATCCCTCCCAGGGAATTCCTGCAAACTCCTAATCCCTGAAATTACTCCGTTATCAGTCCCTGGACTCAGACACTGTCCAGGCTCCTTCACTGGATTGTGCTCCTTGTTTTCCAGAGGGCAAAAAACCAGGCACTGAAAAATGGGAAATCGGTGTCCTGGTGTCCTTCCCAGGAAAAGTGGGGAGGGAAGGACAGAATTCCTTATGGCAACAAACAGCCAGAGGAGATTCTTTGTGTTTCTCATCAGCTGAGTGTCACCACATGCTAATTAATTAATTATAATCAATTAATCCATCCATCCATCTCCATTAATCCGAGGACAAAAAGAGCGGGATGAGGAAGGAGAGATGGAATTTCCCAGAATTTTTTAGGGAGATATCGGATAAAAAGTGCAGAAATACTTAAAAAGCAATTTGGTTTCATGGGTGTCACTTCCAAAAAGCCACCAAAGCTCGGAACAAAGTGCTGGGAACTCCAAAGAATGAGCAAATTCGGGGAGAAACGGGAAAAATTCAGCAGCTTCTAAAGGGATAAAAAAACCTGTGGATGCCAAAATTCAGCTACAGGACCCAGACAGCCCTAAATTGTTGTGCTCAGAGGCACTTTAGGATCTTAATCCCGTTTTTTTTAATCCTGGGAAGGTGTTCTCAGCCATTCCTGAGGGTGGAATTGGCTCAAAAGTGAATAAAATCAAATAAACCAAACGCCCCGAGGGTTTAAACACTCACATTTGGCCAAAAAAAAGAGGGAGAAGAGAAGTGCAAAGCACCTAAAAATCCTTTCAGACAACCTGGGGCTGTAGAAAACCCTCCAGAAATTCCTCTTGCAGGTGGAATTACACCAAAAATCTTAGGAAAAGGGATTTTTTTTTTGTATTTATGTGGAATATGCACAACTTTAAACAGAGGCTCCAGGTGAGGTTGTGACAGTTTGGGGTAAAAAGGGCAAAATCCTTAATTTTAAGGTGGATGGACCTCCCATGCCAGGATATTTCTCCTAGAAATCTCTAAATTAATTAATTCATTATCTGAAAAAACACAGCTTTTTCTGTGCACAGGGGGCACAAAACAAGGATTTTTTTCCCCCCCTTCAGTTTTTAGGGAAAAGAAGAAAAAAAATGAGGATATCCATGGAAAAAAATCCCAGAGGTTCAACTACAGCCCGTGGGTGCCACCTTGTGACAGCAGAAAAAACAGGGATAAATTCCTGGGAAGGGACAAACAAGGGCTTTGGTGGAGCTGGAAAAGTCGGGATTGCCATAAAATCCAGGTTTTTTTAAGCCCATTTCCAAAGGAAACAGGGAAAAGGCAGCAGGGAAGGAGCAAATCCTTCCTTCCCTCACTCAGAGCAGTGGGAAAAACCTGGAGAGGGCTGGAAAAAACCAAGGATTTTATATAACCAGCCTTCAGGCCCTCAGGAATTGGACTCCAATTCGCTGGAATAACTCAAAGCAGGTTGTTTTTCCTCTGAGTTGCTGTTGGATTTGAAGTGCCAGATGCCCCAAAACTTCCTTCCTTCAAAATTAATAAAGTTTTTCCAAGTTTTTTCCCTTTCAAAGTGTCAATTTATTATTTTATCCTGTTTT